TCCTTGAGTCTTTTTAGGGTTTGACCGACGCATAATGCCGAGGCACCGCTGCAGCGTTTGCCGTAACGACCTCAAAGCTTCACCTCGGTAACGGGCGAAGGCGGGCAGTGAACATGGGCAGCATGGAGAGGGCAAGGGTCGGAGAGACCCTCCGGGATAGCAAAGTAAATCTCCGTAACAAAAATGGATTGGACACCTCTCTCTATACTACACATATATTATATAATTCCATCGACTGGACCGGTGAAAGTCATGTGTGGGTTCTGGCAGCTTCCCTTCTGGGTTCCACCTCTCCGTTTAGAGAGGGCAATGCGCGGGTGAGAAGCCTTGTTTAAATGGATGATGGGAGCTTACCAAGAAAGAACTTGACAAACAGAACATGCTCTGCTAGTAGAGAAGCATTGTTGCCGGGCCTCCACCACACCATGTCTCCCATGTGTTGGCAAGAAATGGGGTGCATACTCTCCGACGGTCTGGGCCTTCGAGTCTGAAACCCTAATCTATGGGCGCTCTGAGAGCAGTGGAGCCATGGCCTTGCTCAAATGAAGCATTTTTACGGTACACCTTTTTAAATGGAAGTGGTTCACTTGAACATGGATTGTTTCAGGGAGGGTCAACATACTCCCCGTGGGATTTGATTTGTTCGAAGCACGAACTCAGTTGACTAGAAATCCACTCTCTGAGTCGAGCTCACCAACTGGAAGAGTCTCCCCATGTCCAGATGCTTGGTCGTCATGCGGCCTGGCATGGCCTGGCCTCCAAATCCCCGCGTGCAACGCAAGGGGGTCCCGAGTCCCGAGTCAAAGAAATGGACATGGATTTCATCCGCGTACTCGTGCCCTCATGATCTGGGAAAGCACCCACACGCTCCCGACGGCAGGTGGCTGCTCACAAAGTTGCCACCTCAGAAGACACTGCCAGTTCTGGAAAGAACCCGAAACACGGACATTGGGCAAAGGCATGGAACAAACAGCTGGCAGGACTTCTTCCAAAACCACCCCTGCAAAGAAGAAGCCTTGCAATTTGCTTCTCGAAAAACTAAGGTCCCATCTCCCAGAGGCTCGCTCATCTATTTTGGGGGTCTCCGTCCTGTGCCGTCCAGATGGGCTGGTGGACTCCTCTCTCTCTCGCTCTCTGTCTCTGTCTCTCTCTCTCTCTCTCCATCCATCCATCGCCCTCTTCATGAGATTAGCCAGTGGCTTTTTGCACACACCAAACCGAATCTGAATATAATTAGTTTAGCTATTAGCCATAGGGTGCCAGTGGCATCCATAGGCCAAGTTACGCTATCCCATCGTTGCTCCATTTGGAGCATTCCAATGCTTCCAAACATCTCTGGGGCACCCGAGCTGAGATCCATCGATCGCAACTTGGGCAGTGGAACGCTGGGCCCTTTCGACCACCAGCTGCCCAAGACTTGGAGGCTGGAGTCCACCAGTCGCGCCTGCACTAGGCCTTAGCTTTCCGAAGCCGGGTGATACTTTAAACATACTAGTGCAGGAACCTACTAGTAGCAAGAAGCTAGTAGTGACAAGGGCATCGCTACTAGGAGCAAGGGCGCTAGCAAGAAGGTGTAAACCAATGAGATTGAGACATTTAGATTTTAAGTTATATAAACCAAAGCAGATTCAAATGACATTATCCGGGGCAAGCAGGTTGAAGGATGTGGCAGGTAGAAGTGGAAGGCTGAAGAGCCGACCCATGCTCTTCGTGATGATGCAGGAACAAGATGCCTCAATTTACAGTCCTGTTCTGTATCTTTTTCTTTCTCTTTCTTTTCTCTTTCTCCTTCTCCTTCTCCTTCTCCCTCTCTCTCTCTCTCTGTGACGCTACAAGAAATTGGGCATCTCTCTGCCAGTCGCTCTTGAAGGATCAGCGATTTTCTGCCTTCTTTTCCTCATCTCATTCGTCGACATCTCATACAGAAAGCCACGTATCGCCACAGGATGCCACAGGACATGAATCAAGAAGTGGCATATGTTGGGTGAGCAGCACCGTGCAACCTTGGTCGATCCAGGTGGGTGGATCTTGGTCCCAAAACTGAGCATTCTTGATCCAAGCCACTTAAGTTCTCCAAGAGTGGCAAGTCCAAATTCTCCAGCAGCACCGCGAGAGCTTCGCCTGTCGACACCCAAAGCCTCATGGATCCATGGTTCTGCTGTGTGGACTGAGGCGCAAGCCCTCCAAAGAGGCAGCGCCCAAATGCAGGATGCGAAGAGACTTCTGCAATGCTTGAATCACCCCACCTGGCGCGAGGAAGCTCTTTCGGGTGACGCAGAAGGAGAAGAAAACAAAAAACACCAAGAAGGAAAAGCAAACACTTGACAATAAGCACGCTACCGCTACCCCTTCTGCTATTCCCTTATTAAGTCTACCAAGCATTACCAAACCATCTTTCTCCCCTCCACCATCCGCCACCCCCACCGGTTGCTCCGCGCCTAAGACGCGTCGATCTCCGCCCAGCTGGCTCGCGCGGAGATCCAGCTCCTCCAGTTGAGGCGCCGCAACGCTCAAGCGACTGAAGGCTTCGGGCCTCGGGGGTTCGGGCACGCGCGCTACGCTCCCACCGGCGCCGGCGAAGAGGCTTCGACTCCTCGGAAGTCTCTCTCTGTGAAAGCTGGAGCCATCGGAAATCTGATTGTTTCTACAAAACAAGATCGAGTTATCTGGAGCCTGTAGAGTGAAGAAGGCAGCTTCTTGGATTTGCTTAACGCACCACGAAACATAGGATTAAGTATATAAATAAATATAATATTAAACCGCTTCCCCGGAAGTGGATTAACCCAGTTCGAAAACATCAAACATCCACCCGTTCTGCGAAAAGCACCCCATTCCGATCCCGATCCCCACCTGCCCCCGTTATCCTCGCATGTTTCAGAAGGACCGAGCCGACCCCGGCGAACGAACAACGCTCCGGCTCTCTGGACGTTCCGCATGACACCCAACGGATGCTCGCCAAGCTGCGGGAAGTCTTCCTGAAGCGGCGGGAGTGGCGAAACCCACGAAGCAAAGGAGGAGCGGAGCGTGTGAGTTCGGCCAAGCGACCGATTCCGAGCAGGCCGGTGTTTTGGGGTACCTGTTTTGGAGGGGGGGTGGCCCTGTTCAACAAAGACCCTCCAAAATCCAAGGAGGAGCAAGAAGACAAAGAAAGAAGGAGTTTGTAAGAGGAAGAGTTGTGATTTGTCCAGCGTCTATTCAAATCCTTTGAGAGGCTGTGTCACCTTGGGTTGGGACAGATTTAAATATTAATGCTATGAGACTCAACAGGCAGCGCTTTGTCCTTCCATAATCGCATGTCAAGCATGGTTAATGATCGTCGAAACATGTTGCAAGCAAAAAATGGAGTATATAAACCCTTTCAAGCCCACAATTCGTTATCCTCCAAAGGCGTCCGAGGCGTCAAAGAAGACCACATCTTCACAGGAAAGAATCCCATTTGTCAACGCGCCAAGCCCAGCGGAGTCATCCACTCATCTTGAAGAGCTTTCTGTTTCAAACTAGTTCAGACTTATGTCCAGCACTTCCTACAAACTGCCAGCTAGATGTCGTGTCCTTTCTTGTCCCTGTTCATCCTTTTATTTATTATATAGTGTCTGTGTGATTCTGTGTGTGTGCAAAATTACTGATAATTCCTGACGCTTCGCGTCGACCGCCGCCCACACCTTCTCTTTTTTTTCGGTCGTCTGGGGAAAGACTGCTGGAGTGGACAGGGGAGGTCGGGAGTGGTATCCAAAGAGATGGCTTGTTTGCCGCAGCGTCTATGGCCATGTTGCGGCCGAGTTACGCACAAGTTCGCTCGTTTGGTGGCCATGTTAAAGCCAATTCAGGCTCCAAGTTCGACCGTTTTGTGGCCTTGCCCCCGCTTGGTTAGTCCACATTACATCATGTCAAGGCTAGCTTGATCGTTTGGTGACCCTGTGTTGAGGCTACGTAAGTTTTTTTGAAATAATGCTGGTTATGCGTTGCTGGTCAGGATGGTTTTTCAGCATCGTGGGTGTCCGTTTTTTTGGCTTGTTTGACTCTTGCATAAATAGTCCAAAAATGTACCTCCAATAATGCTTGTTATGCGTTGCTGGTCAGGAGGGCTTTTCAGCATCGTGGGTGTCCGTTTTTTGGCTTGTTTGGGCTCTTGCAGAAATAGTCCAACAATGTACATCCAATAATGCTGGTTATGCGTTGCTGGTCAGGAGGGCTTTTCAGCATCGTGGGTGTCCTTTTTTTTGGCTTGTTTGGGTTCTAGTCCAAAAATGTACCTCCAAAACGCTCTCCCCCATGGCCCTCGAGGCGGAAGACGTTTTTCCCCGAAACCAAAAAAAGAGGCCCCCCCCAGCAGAGCTATGAACTGATTGCGATGTGATGATTGACTGACGATGATTCGAGCTTGACCCGCCCCTACCACGCCCTGCACCGCAAGCGGTGTGGGCGGATTATATATGTCTGCTTTCTCAGCCTCACACTCAACACTTGGAAGATCCTTGTTCATCTGCTGTGGTGGGGTATGCTACCACTGCGGCTCATGATGCAGGAATTCCATACTTCTCAGACGGTTTCACGCACGAACGGTACCAACAAATCATTCCCAAAACCTCCAGAGCAAACCGGCCATGGCCTTTTCACGGGGATCCACCCATTGGAGCATTCCAGAAGGCTCGTGCCGCGCGAGGAATCGCGCGCGTAAGGAGTCACCCAGCGGCTGTCGCGAAGGAGTTCTCAGCAAGCACCAGCTTTCGCAAGCGCGGCAAGGGCCTCGCCATCGTCAGTATCAAAGGTTCATGCAGGCACTGATTGCACCAGCACTCAACCAATATAAGTATAACGCCAACAACTTTAGCACCAGAACTCGCCAAGTGGTTCAAGTACCTTGGATTGGAATTGTTCATTGTACATGGCTGGGTCGCTAGCTGATGCTCGCTGTCTATTGCCGGGTAAGAAATCTTTGGAGATCAGGGCTTTCGCGTGGGGCGCTGCCTGGGGCGTGCCCTGGCCGGAACTGGTGGACGGCCACTGTTCTCTCATTCCGCGTCCACGCGGACCTACGAAAAGGACGACTCGTCTCCATGAGCACGACGATCCGCGACGGCGGAGGTCGCAGCGGTCAAGGTTCTCTTTGAACCGCCTGTCCTTTCCTTGCTGTGCAAAAGGTTGGAGCCTTTCCCTTGCTGTGCTGTTCCCTTTCTAGTCCACATGGTGGAATTTTCTGGGTGGTGCCTCACTGGGCAGGTGGCAAGTTTCATAAGACAACCGCATCCCTTAACATCAAGTGACCTCATACTTTTGCCGAGGGCGAAAATTTCACTGTGTGCAAACAAAGAGCTTTGACTCCAGGCGGTTACCGTTCGCAAATCGAAAGGTCCAAATAAAGATTCAAAAAGTTTAAAATCCCTGAGTCTCACGACTTGCACACATCTCCCATGTCGCTCCTCTCCTATCCCGCGGCTCCAGATAACAGAGATTGATTAGGAACTTGTACTGCGCGCGCTGGAGGGTAAAACATATCCCAAAACACTCCATGGGCCTGGAACATATGCCGCCCCATTGGCCCTTTTTCAAAGACCCAAACGTCAGCCAATATGCCAGTCACATGGAGTGTCTGAGTATGTAAACATCGCCACCCGCCCCGCATCTCCCCGCCCATCACCTGAGGTTCACCAAGACATCGTGCAGCCCACGGGGGCCGAGTTTGTTTTGCCTCGGGACTCGGGGAGATATAGGTGTTCTTGGAAGTAAGGCATGCATAGGCATGCAGCATCATTCACCTATGCCAAGTCTTACTTATGTGATCCAACTTGGAGCTCTATATGATTATGGTTCCTTCGTTTTCTATCCTTGAAGGGCCCTCTCCGAACCTACTCATTCCTTGTACCCGGTACCCGATGTCGCTGGGCAAGAATCAAATCCTCAGAAGCCAATGGGACCCAGAGATGATTTGAGCCTTCTTCAAAAAATGTTCTCCTGTTGCGTACGTGTTTTGTTTTGAAGTTCTATACTTCTGTTCTTACCACATCTTACAACATGATGTCAACTCAGATCTGCCGTCAGACTGCCTCTCTTTTCCCCAGGCGCACAAATGGCCCGGGCAGCCTCAAACCGAGACAGCCAGCGACCAAACGTCACCGGTTTTCCGGCCACACCGTTTTGACGCAGCGGCCCGAAGACGCAGCAATCCAGCAATCCCATAGGGCCCAATGCAAATGCCGGAGATGTGGAGGGGCAAGTGTGAACTTGCAGGGAAGACCCTGTTTTTCTCCACCTACCTACCCTTTGAGCTTGACTTGTAGCACGCTAGTTGGGGAACTTGCCGAATGAACCCCTCAAGTGACAGGTTTTAACCAGTGCTGTCAAAATCTCTGCTCACTAGGCCTTCACTAGACACTGAACTTCGGTTTCCAAAGCGGACCTAAGACGATGATCTCATACAAATCAGTGTTGAGGCCCCCCGTGTGGGGAACCCGTATCTATACTGACTAGCTGATTAGCTAGTCAGCTTGCAAGTCGTGAAATGCATACTGGATTTGTGTGTAGCAATCATGCAGCACGCGATTAAAACGATCCCCGCCCAAGAACGAATCACCTGAGAAACAATGCCAAGAATGTCTCAGACTCAGTGATTGCTGGCCTTTCTGCGGAGGCTGCTGTACAGGTCTTCGCCTCTCAGACGATGTAGTCCAGCCCAAAGAGCCGCCGGCGAACTTGTTCCACCAGGGCGGGCATCAAAAGGAAGAGTGGCCCCACCTGGCCCGTTCCGCGACTCGCTTCGGCTACTCCCAGAGGTAGAGAGTCAAGACACTCAAATTCAAAAGGGACCTATAAGTATTGGTTATTCCAATGCACATTCAAGATGCGATAGGCTCACTCGTCGTACAAACATCTGGGGTGGAAATCCCCCTGGTGTCAACGTGTCGAACACACCGGCAGACCTGTGGGGCTTGTCATGATCCTGCAAAATCAAGGTTAACCATTCTTCTGCACTGGGACAACCATCCCCCAAGAAGGTTAAAGGTTATCCGCCAGCTGGGTAGGTCTTTCAATCACCTATCTTGGCCTGACCAGCCACAACGCTCCCCTCTTCCGCCGAGCATCTCTCATGTATGCCGGCAGCCATCCACGGAAGAAACCCACAGGTCCAGCGTCGCGCCAAAGGCCCACGGCAGCGCCGAACATGCTGGTGCCGCCCTTGCCTGGAGGCTGGACGGCGGCGCCCTTCAGCGCCCCAACATGCATGGAGTTCTTGAGGAGGGATTCTTGAGACACCTGAACTAGAACCCTGCGTACGTACTACGTATTGGATGGGCCAACGCGGGCTGTTCAACCTCTACTAGGATCTGGACGAGTCCTTGAGTGCCCTCGTAAAACGCCGTCACAAAGCGCTGCATATCACTGTTCTCGTGTCGGTCTGCCGCCCACTTTGTTGGTCTGCCGCGGCCCCAATGGCGACAGAACGTCCAATTGCAAGCTCAACTTGTCATTGTTCCTTGAGCCCGCTTAGATCCTCAGCCTCGGACCTATTCTTCAGTCTACCCCACAGAAAGGTCTCCGTCTCAGTGTTTGATCACGCCGACCCTGCCTTCTTGCATCACTCGCGTCCGGATCACGTCCGCCTCAGCAAGTGGTCGGAGGTGCGGCAGCGAACCAAACCCCGTGCTCGGTTCGTAGACCTGAAGAGTGGTATCACCCAAAGGGATCCACTTTAATAACATACTCTAACGGATCCCCAAAGACATAAAACATGTTTATATATATATATACATACTGATATTCTATAGTTGTAACAATGAAAAACATACTGAAACTTTATAGCTATATATATATATACAGTTTTTGGTTTTCAGTCAAGGTGTGCGACCTCTTCCTCCCTTTCATCTACCAGAACCCTCTCATCAATTAATACCTCCATCTCAGAGTCAGAGGAAGGTGAATCCAAACTCAAGATTTCCCATTATGATACAAAACTGTGGACTCGTTAATCTAGATTCTGAATAACAAGCTTGAAAGAGGTATCGTTCCATCATTGTTCCATCCAAAAAGGGATGCGTCTTTGATGTCTTTAAATATCATCCGTCAATTCTTCGCAGAAACCAATCCCCACCCTTTCCTCCCATCTTCCGCCATAGAGGCGGGCGCTGTCACACTGGTGCCCACCACACCGGCCACCAAGCCGGCAGCCAGGTGGAGCTGCGGCCCATCCTGGCGTGGTAAGGACTCCAGGGGCGGCGGGCATCCGAAATCCAAGAACATCAGGTATAGGAATGTCCGTGAATTTCTTAAAATTTCTTCAACCCCCGCAGCTTACTATCCAAATGCAAGGGGTTATTCATCAAGAATTCTACTATAAAGAAAGAAGAAAGATGAAGAAAGCCTAGTCTGAGACTCGTGATTCCACTTTTTGGGGTGCCAGCCGGAGGTTCACCGACCAGGCGCCATCTCCCGGCTCAGCCGCCGAAATGGATGAGATGTTCGACCCACACCCCGCGCATCGAGCTCCTCGGCCCACTGGTGAGACTTCGCGAGGTGCTTCGTGTGCCTCGGTGGAAGGCCGTGTGACTTCGGCCACGCAGGTCTGTCGGGTGGGTTTGACACAGGAATGGAAGCACCGTGGTCTGGTGCAATGCAAGCCTCAGGCTCTAACAGCGTGGAAGGCATGGCAACCATGGCATGGTAGCTTCGGATCTAAAGGGGGGCAAGGGTTCTTCCTTCTTCTTCACACTTGGGGTCTACTAACAAGGGACCTTTGGTGTCCTACCAACCTCGTCTTCCCCCAGACAGTTTTGTAGTTGTCACTTGTTGCACCACGAAGGTCTCACAATAAGGCCAATATGAGACCATATATAGCACTTATATGCACATATATTTGAGTCCAAAACGTCCAGATCTCAGCCCAGATGATGCCAGATCTGCTTGAATCAAGGGAAAAATCGAACCCCTGCGGCGGGATTCCAGCCATTCACTTCATCCTCTCCATGCGATCTCGCCCTCTTCGTCCCGGGCACCGGTCGCACCAGCCAGGTGGCTCGTAGACCGGCACGGTGCCCACGGTCATGCAAATGCTCCGGACCTGGCACCGGAGCATCCTTCCTCCCCGGAGCGAAGCGCGGAGACCAGACTCCGGGACCGGACTCCGATCCGTATCTGAACTTCGAAGAAGTGCGGTCCAACTCGGACCTCGAAAAAGCATCTAAGGCTGCAAGGAAGAATCCATGAGGTACGTAAAACTAAACTAAACACATCTTGCAAAGTCCAAGTATAGTATATACCCAGACCAAAGCACTGACAATGATTTGACAGCATGCATGGATCTGAGGGACGGATCTTCCCAAAACGGCCCATATCAGGCTCAGACTGAAATCCAACCCATCTTTGATCTCACCTCACCGCCATGGGATCAGCCCGGTTGGCCCGGGTTTGTTGGGTCGAGGTGCGACGTTGACGCCCGAGCCGCGGAAGAGACTCCAGAGGCCATCCTGCAGAACCAGCCGAAAGCCGCTCACCTGCGACGGGCACGGTGGTACGGGTCATTGGAGAGATGTGTGGCCATTAGAGGGAGAAACCGTTCCAGCTATAGGTTCAGAAGCAATATCTTATCATATCTTCTTGATATTGCAATATATCATATATCTATTATACATTGTTATATGTAGATCAAAAACATCTCAACAAAGCTATGGTCCTCCCCTACTGAACCGCACCCCTACCAAGCTGGGACTTCATCCCAAGCCGCTGAGCTCCAAATGCGCTGCGGCTGCCCGCTGCGGAGGCCGGTGGTGAGCGTGCCCGCGGCGTCGGCGAGGCCGGCCTCTGCCTGGACCCTGCGCGCGGTGTCCGATTCACCGGGGTGGAGAAGGAGTGCCGCCTGATGTCCTTTTCGTTGACAGCTTTAGTGAGAGCTCCCGGCCAAAATGCCTTGAAATTGTGAGATGATGTGACATGCCCGCGGCAGTTGCATCCCAACTTGACCTCACCTGATCCCAATCTGAATTCGCCCTCAGGCGGCCTGATGCGTACCAAGTCGAAAGGGCTCGCGAGCAAGCCGGATAGGGCGCCCAGCACCACCCCTGCGCTGAACTTGCTGCCCAAGCCCGCCTTGGTTTCTTAGATGGCAATGCCTGAAACAGACCAAAACTAACTGCCTGTAAGAATTCCACTGGCTCTTGTTTAAGTGGTTGCTAAAGTTGTTTTTTGGGGGCTCACCATTGGAGCTTTAGATGGGCAGTCACCTTCCGGGCCCACAAGTGGAGCTTTAGATGGGCAGCCACCGTCCTTCACTCAAAGTTCCACTCCGAATTTGCGAAAGCCGCCTCAAACTGCGCTGCCCTGTGACTTGAGTTACTGAAGGATGCGCGGAAGCTCAAGTCTGCGCTGCCAAGGCAACTCGCCCCAAACATCGCCAAACACCCCGAAATCCTGCAGCTGGGTGGCATCTCCTCCAGCCTTGCCCTGGCAAACAGGACGTGATAGCGGCTGCTGTGAGGATCCAGGTTCACTCTGGCTCTAGAAGATGAAACGTTGACCCCTCAAAACTCACTGCTGACGTTGCCATGTCAAGACTCACCAGCAGAACCCACCCCCTTCCTCCTTCATCATTCCTGATCATCCCTACGGGAGTTCGAGACCTCCAAGCAGCTCAACCCACGTCAAAATCATCCCAAATATCCCACCTCAATGGAAAAAGCATGAAAAAAACACTTCATGACCTCCGTACTCCAAGACCCAACCACCCAAAAACAACCTCCGGACTCCTCTGGACGGCGGCCTGCGCCAGAAAGGACATGCCATCACGCACGGCTGGGTACGCACCAATGCGCGTGCCGACCACGGTGCATTCACGTCCTGAGCAGGGCGCCGGGTGAAGGCTTCGGGTGAAACACAAAGGCAATTCACATGGCAATTCACCTAATTAATTTGGTCTGAGTCTACCAGAATGCGCACGCATCATGTGCCGGTGATCCCTGGAGACGGGTGGCTAGGAAGATCCAAGAAGTGAATCAGTGATCAGTGATAAGGGCTCACACAAATGGATTCCAGAAGACAGAGGTCGACATTCCTGAGATATTGAACATTCTCTCAGCTTCTGCAACTGCATAACAATTCGTCAACATCAATGTCAGTCGCCCTCAGTCGCCCCCACAACGCCATGTGCTTGGTGCTTCATGCACCCCGGTTCACCGGGTTTTGACGCTTGATGTCCAGGATCGGTTTTGACATGTCGCTGTGAACCCCTGAGGCCGAGTCCCAAAGAGGCCAGCATGCCCGTACTCCACAGCGCCAAGACTCCTCCAGGGCAGTCTTTTCGCGTGCGATCCAGGCGCGCGATCCGGTGGATCTTGAGGTCCTCATCTAGATGAGCTTCGATGTTTCACACACATGAGGACGCGCCGAAGAATTCCACATCGAGTGAGTGCGTGCCTCAACATCCGTCTATGTTTGCAACGGGCACCTCCCATTTCGGGGTCTTCTGACGTCGCCTTTTGACGACCCGCGGGGCTCCTTCTTCGGCCAGTATTCTCCGCGCGGTCCCTGAAAAGCCGCCGTTGTAGGGCGCAGCGGTGCAACCCTGCACGGGCACTCCTGGCGACGGCGCGTGTCGAACGCTAGAGAGTTGGGAGGACAAGCACTAGATCACGTTGGACCATCCAATGGTCCAATGGAGATCCCTAAATAGTGTAGAGTGGTCCCTTGGATACCCATTCGATGGTCCCGGTCGTAAACGGTTCACTAGACTAGCAATCTCATGCAATCTCTGTGGCTTTTGGCTTTCTGAAAATCCGCCTTCGGTCTGAAAACCTGTCTTCGGACAAAGGAACACGTCTCGCGCTCCACCAATGTTCCTTTCAGCTTACCCATGCCCTCCGACATGGACTTCTGTGGATGGCGGGGAGCTTCACACATGTTCTACATCCAAATCTGCACCCGAATGGGATGGACACAGCGACCCGAGCCGTCTGCCACCCTGGCAAAGAAGGGTCAATCGGGTGAACCATGGGGTTCACCCACTGGGTTCACCCCTTTTCTTCACTGGTTCTTAGTTCAGTGGGGCGTCCCCAATTCCACAAAAATGGTGACCTGCAGGTGATCCACATACTTTCAGGATCTTTCAGGGTAGGACACCAAGGAAAAGCGGGGACCCCACTCAGGCGCGAAACACACACCGACAGCGACACCAAACACACCTTGCATGCGTGTCTTGATGACGTCCGTCCAGTTCAGCGCCAGCGGCACGGCAGTGGCCGCCACCATGGCTGCACTGATCTCTTTCAGTCGATCCGCCATGACCGTGTTCCGAGCCGCGCGCGGTGAAGACGGATCGCAGAGTGAAAAGCATTGCCATGAGTTTGTTGGAGGTTTTTTTTTAAGTTCCATGTTGCGGCTGCTCCATGTGCCATGACCACAGAATCTGCCAAAACCAGTCAAAATCCGCTCGCAAAGTGCCACTTGCTGTGCAATTTGACCAGTCTCGTCTGCTTGTGCTTGCCAAATGAACCATCCGGCACCGCGCAACGTCAACAGAGTCACTAACTTCAGTTCCTCTCGTGTTTTCCGCCTTTGAGGGGCAACATCTTTTCAGCGGGCTGTTTGCCCCGTTTGAAGCCCAGATGGCAGCGTGCATCACAGAAGGCCAACCGATGCTCCGTCAAGACTACGAACTGCCAGGCTTATCCTCCTGATGTCCTCTTCCCTAAGAATCCGGACCATCAAACATAGGGTCTCATAGGGTTTTGAGGGCCCGGACCCTGCTATGGAGGGTCCGACCCCTGCCATGGAGAGCCCAAGGATTCTCAGGGTTGTTTGATAGATTCAATTGCTGCGAAGCGTCCCTGGTGGTTGCCAACACCCAATGTTCCAACCCCAAACAGGTGAGATCCTCATCTCTGACGGTCCGAAGGGTGTAACCAGGCCCTCTCTAGAACTTATATCACAGACGTCTTGCAAAAGCATGCCAAAGCATGAGCCATATCTCAAGTAGCTTTGAGACGTCTGAGTCTTGAACCGAACTGCACCGAAGAGTCTCATTGATGCCATCGATTCCGTCCTGCCACATATCCATGGGATCGGATTTTACTTCTTCGGAGCCGCTTCGGCGACCGGCTCACGCAGCCCGGAGCGGGACAACCGGACGCACCATCTCATCGGCACGCATCGCTCGCCGTCCCAGAGGGCGAAGGGAGGTCCAAGTGGCGCCAGATCCAAGGTGATCAACGTGTCGCTCATGGACTGCAACAAGACGGGCACGACCTGCGTAACGATCCACTGGATGTCCAGAAAAAAAAAGGGGCAATTCAGATCGCCCCCCCAAAGCGAGCTGCTTCTGAAGTGTCAGCTGGCATCCGAAAGCAGGGATGTAAAAACAAACAACTTGTCATTGTCTCTACTTATATCATGCTTATACTGTTACTTTGTGTTTGTTGCATTGTTACCAAGTGCGGGGGATCACGGCACGACGACCACCCAACAGTTGGGACCCCTTCAATGAACCAGTCGTGGGTGAATGAACCAGTCTCTGACGTTGTCTGTTTCAATCGATGTATCTACTGCGCTCCTTTAAAGAAGGCTCTGTCTTTGGAATCAAATCGCTTCCAGGCTGGAGGCCGATCCGATTAGGGAGGCCATTCCTAGCAGGTTGGAGGCCATTGCTATGAGTTTCCCTAAAAATCGAGTCCCAGTGTAAAGCGTGATGTTGGTGAGCAGCGTCCCTTCCCACCTCTGCATTCGTCGAGCCCAGCCAGTTTCCATACCTTACTCATATCTGACACGAAATGTCACTATATAATTGCCGAATCTCTTGAGGTCTTGAGGTCTTCAAGAACGCTTGGATCCCAAGCAAGTGACCTTTGAACATGTTCAATCACGGTCCATGCAGGGTGAAATTCCATGGCTTCAAACTTCAAACATCTGTTCTTGCTCCAAGACAACGTGTTTCTCTTGCAAAAGATAGGTCCCGTATACTCGCCCCGGGGCTGCCGGGATTCATGACTTCAGATCCACTCAGGTCCACCTGGTGCCCCCCGAACAACGCGAAAACCCCAAATGCGACCAACGGAGATCCCGCCCAAAAGAACAAGACCTAAACAGTAACCAAGTCACCCACACAAACCTTGCGGGGGACCTGTTTTTCTAGATAGCCCCTCATGGCCCATTTTGCCACCACCATCACCATTCATCACCTGGGCATCCTGTTGGCGCATCTCGCCAGTTCGCCACCCCCAATGCAACACCACTAGCAGGTTGGAGGCCATCGCTAGTAGGTTGGAGGCCATTGCCCCAATAATGCAACACCACTGGGGTTTTCCTCACCCCAGCGTCAAATTGAGGCTTTCCAGTTTGAGCTCCGCCGGCATCAAGGCCTGAAGATTGGTGGTGCAAACGAGTTCGCGGACGAGTTCACAGACGAGTTGGAAACAAAAGAAGATCCCTTGAGTTGTTGGACGGTGCCGGTCTGCCAAAAGGTTGGGTTCAGCCAATTTTTCGGCAAATCATGCAGGTGAGTTCATCAATATATATAATAGAACACGTTTTTTGAAGCCTCTTCAGAGGTTTTACAATCCATGTCTGCCTGAACCCTCCGTCGTAGCAGAAAAAAGTGACAGAAAAAAAAAACTGCACATCATCAAAAAAAGCGTTCATGCCTTGAAAAAGCGTACCACTGGAAAGTCAGATGTAGCTTCATTCCACCTTATGTGGTCTTCAAGTCCATTCCCCTGCCACATGCTGGCACCCACCCCACGCACACACAACACACGCTCACACACTACGAAGCGGCAGCCAGCAACCCCTTTCTTTGATCTTCAGTATCAACATTAACATAAAAGATTTAAGGGAAAAAATCAATCCGCCACTTTTAAAAAAATGCGCCCGGGTTGCGGGAATTTGCGCCCAAGTTGCGGGCACCCTTTTTGGAAAAATTGTTGTAAAGCACGCCAAAGTAGAACCAAACCTTTGTGGTTTCAATTGCACATACTAGGAGAGGTCATATAGGATTTCCACCCGGTCCATAGGGCCCCCAAAGGCCCACAAGGGTTGATAAGGACACTGGTCAGGAACCAGTAGGCTTTAGAATTTACACCACCAAAAAGAGCTCATATGTCCTGAAAAGTGTACATACCCTCAATTAACGCTCAAACTTCCAATAAGTGCTCCAAACCATGGTTCGCCAGAAATAAGTGTTACAAAGGATGCTTCAGGTGAGATTCTACATGGTGATGGTCCCTAGGGATCGAAATCCTCATGACCAAAAGGCGCTTTCGCCAGCCGCGTCTGGCACAAAACAGGTGAAACCATTTTTTTCGCCCCGGGGTCCGTGAATCATTAGCAACATGAAGAAACCCTTTTTCGACCCCAAACGCCATGTCATGTACAGCATTCCACGATTTGTTGGCCCATGGCCATCCTCCCTCCGATGTCGACCTCGCCTCGATCCCTGTGGTGCCGAGACCGTTCAGGGACAGGTCCAAGATCTTCAGCGAAGGCGCCAAGGCCGGCACCAAGGTGGCGAGACCTGTGCGGAGGCATTGTCTCGGGCCGTCAGGCCAGCGAGACGGACGGCCTGTCCGTCGAGTCCGCCTGGAAGGTCCCAAAGGTGAAGAGTTCATGAGCTCATGTTGCAGCAAAGTTTGGTACAACAAGGGTACTAAGCTGTTGAACCTAAACGTTCTGGCAAAGTCAAACTACAACATAAATATATATATATATTTATTTATTTATATTATACATCTAAAATGACAAAATGCGTTGGATCAATTGCTGAACGCCAAGAGAAACAAAGAAGAAAACAAAAGAAAACGATCTGGTAGCACTGTCATGTGGCCTGCTGGTCCTAAGGCATTTCCTCCCAGCATCAAGACCTGCAGTGTAGGTAGCGATGGCAACCAGTTGGCCAAGACATTCGCTCCTTCAGGGTCCGGGTGGTTTTATCACTCACATGAAGGCATTGCAGCACTGCGTGGAACAGCAGCACCTCTTTTGGGCTTTCTATTGACATAGAGGTGACGGTTGATGAATAAAGCCACCCATTTGGAATGTAAAACCTCTCGATCTTGATATGAAGGAGTTTATTCATCAACAATGGTGTTTTCTTCCGAACCCTTCGCAGCCTTCCAGACCCAAAGCATTTCGGCTCAAGTCCAGATGCGTCAGCTTCTCGCTCTGGGCCCCTTCCAGTGTCAGCAGCTTTTCTGCCTGGGCCCCTTCCAAGCCGCACTGCTTCAACGCCAAAGAGCTCAAGTTGTTCCGAGCCATAAAGCACTTCACTTCTTCCATCAACTCGTCTCGCAGCACCAGCTCTTCCACCGTCAAGGACTCCACGCCTGGGCCCCAAACTCGAGGAGACGATAGAAGACCGGACTCCAACAAGGCTGCGGCCCCAAAAAACGGTGTCAACCAAAAAGCTGGACTATGTGTTTTTCTTTTTTCAATGGCTACTGGAACCAAATAAGTCACTTTCGCAACCCTTCACCTGCATCGTTGCCACCCCTCAGCACCGCAAACAGCAGCTCCACGCCCTCGCCCGCGGGAATCGCTGCGTCCGTGGTGGACGCGCGGACGGTGAGGCGCTGCAAAGGAGCTTGGTGGCGCTGCAAGAGCTCCAGCAGCTCCGATGCAAAGGCCCAGAAGCTACGAGTGGAGCCCACGAAGGTCACCTGGCCGGAGGGCGTCAGCGATGTACATGCGCCCGGAGTCCAAAAAGTATATGTTGACTGACTGAAACAAAGAACAGTCCTGAACTCGGGTCGCCAAAAAGCAAGTCTTTTTGTGGTCGTTGACTCCCAGGGTATAGGTTCTGAAAAAAGGCTCCGAAAGACCCTTCCCAACCATCATGGAAGTGGGCAGCCCCCCCTCTTGGCAGAGGAAAGGAAGATAGCCTTCTAAGAGGCCATTGTCCACTTTGATGATTGTTGCGGGGGGAGTGATCTACACTTCAATACTCTTCAATGACAATGAGTTAGACTGTTACATACACGATATTGTTTTGATCGAGAGTGGGCGTTTGAGATCTGCTTCAGGGGCCCTGAGTTGGGTGAGAGACCGCCAGAAAGCTTGGGAAGTGGAATTGCGGGTTCAGCACCATACCTGTGGGTCACAAAGCTGGGGCCTCCCAACAGCAGGTCAAGGAAACAAATCTGATACATCTACAACCTCAATCAAACAGCCTGTGAGACCCTATCCAGTACCCTTTCGTGCCCCGGTGTCATCAAGATCCCACTGCCGGTGATCGACCTCCATTGCTAGCTGTGGAACAGGAACCTGGTTGCTCCTTACAGCTTATACTTCAAGGTGCAGAACTGGCTGACTCCCTGCATTTCCCTGGAAAATGCAAGTTCACATTCCCAAAAAGCTCGGCTCAAGGTGTTCCTGACCTGGAGAAGGCCTGTGCATTCCCATGCAAACACCTGGATCATCGCTCCCTCCACCAGCACCGGACCGCCACGGCCTCGGTCGTCCCGGCCTCGTCGAGGCGCCGGAGCCACGGCGCCGCCCGGCGCAGCGCCGGCGGCGGGATCCGCGCCGCGCCGTCGGAGACGGTGAGGCGACGGAGGTGCTGTGCGACCAGGACGGTCCACTCGGAGGAGAGGAGCGTCAAAGACCAGGCCTGGTGGTGATGTTTGGAAGGAAAAAGGAGTGAAAATGAGAGTTTAGGAGTTGAGCAGGTGCCCAAACACCTCTGTTGGGTTGTGAAGTGATCCGCGAACAAGTTGGCAACTGTATGCTCCGGACTGTACGCGGCCAGGCACCTCGCAGTGCTCCAACTACATCCCCAGAGAGTCTTTAGGTATATCGCATGCCTATATAGTAGCGGTGGATGAGGATGAGGATGAGGATGAGGATGAGGATGCAATGATGATGAGGATGAGGATGCAATGAGGATGAGGATGAGGATGAGGATGAGGATGATGATGATGATGATGGTGGTGATGATGATGATGATGGTGATGATGATTCCTGGTAGTAAAGACCTTTCTCATAAGAGTGATCATCTTCGACTGACTCGTATGGGTAACGGGACACGCCCTAGTTAGACGCCCAAAGTGCCCTTTTGCAGCTACCTCATGCACCAGCAGGACCACAACACCGAGCCTAGCCTCACGCTGCGGCAGGAAGGACAACGTGCGGCTGAGCACTGCTGCATCCAACTGTGCGAGAAATTCCATCGGACAATCAGCAACTTGGCCAACGTCTGTCTATCAAAAAGTTCATTGTCACTAGTCACTATGCCCCAGAATGATTGACATAGTGGCCTGTGAATCACAGGCCAACGTAAGAAAATGCTTGCCATACGCGCTGAGACATACTAGACTAGACCAAGCATTTTGTTTGGGTCTAGTCCCTGGCAGCTGCGGACATCCTTTTCGAGTGGTGACTGGAAAAAGGGGGAGAGGATGCCCAGTCTGTGAATCAGTTGTTGCCCTAACTTTGCCAAAGCTTTGTGGCTCGGTGGCTTGGGATGTTGCTACAGGGCTGCATCACGGTTGCCGTTGCTGGACATGACATGACACGAAAACATCGACAGCGGTCCAGAGCAGGGCAGGGCCCGAGGCCCGCCATTTTCCGTTTTGCATGTTTTGCACAGAACCGGGTTTGACGAAGAACGACCCCAGGGTTGGATCCAGAACCAATTTTTTGCACTGCCAAAACGTGAAAATGCTGATGTCCACTAGTCACTAGAGTCACTAGAAGCAGAATGCCAGGGCCCAAGTCAACCAACCAGAGTGACAAACCTTTGAACGCTTTGTGCTATCTAGCAGCTAGCATGTACATTCAGCAAATGAACAGTTCGCACTGCTCACCACACCAAGATATTTCGGTTGAAAGCCGTCGTGAAAGCCTTCACCAATCAGCTGGTCTGCCGGTCTGACGTCCCCCCCGATCTCACTCTTCAATCGCCTTCCATTCGGAGCGTTTCGTCGCATGAACCTGAACTGGTGCTTTGCACCGGGTTCATGTTCGGAAGACTCGCTTCGATGTGTTTCGATCTGGCCACCCCAACCGCCCCAACTCCTCAAGACCTGGCCTTCCCCCCCACAGAATTGTGGTTGAAAACACTGCCCGAGTTGCGTGGCAGTAAGTTCCCCAAATCATTGAGTGCTTTTGTTCTTGTTGAGTAGGATCCGGCCTTTGAAGTTTTCTTTGAGCCTTGCAGTGCATAGGTCAGCCTTTCGTTAGCCGTCCGGCCGTCGTGGGAACCGTGGCAGGGACGACCAAGGGCCCCTGGGGCCAAAACACACAAGGGTGGCACATGCCATCGCACCTCTAAAGCCAAGTGATACACCTCTTCAGGCAGATTGAGGTTCATCAGCGCAAAGGCCCATGATGACTCGCTTTTTGAGCCAGACGCTATGCAAAGCCTCCTTGTTCTTGTGCGTGCAATCCGCAAAAGAATGATGGGGGTGCAGGCCTGAAATGGTTCAGGCACAAACCAAGCCTGCAAAAGGTATGTCAATCCTTTTTAGGGGTTCAGGAACGGATTTTTTTTTCAAAATATCCTAACAAACCACCAGACGTGCCACAAGGTGGATCTTGTGCTTGTCAATGGTACATTAAAAAAAAAAAACAAAAAACAAAAACATATGTCGACATGTCCTCCAATCCCTGCAACTGCATCAGGCCCATAAGGGGACCCTAGTGTGTGAATGGGGAAGCGGCCCTCCGCAGGGGCTTGATAGGCCTTTGCACTGCCACTGCCCTCACTCAGGTGCACACTCCGCCGAGGCCACAAATTGGCACAGTGTGAAACGATGAGTCTTTTAAGAATTCGACTCTGCGATGGAGCCTCTCGCGCGCAGCTTCACAAGTCTTATGGCTGCCTTATCTTTGCTTCTTGCTTGCCCAATGACGCTTCTGACGTCCCATTGACCAACGGGGATGCTACTTTGGGCACATGTCTGCCAATGCTGATCGACCTGTGCTCCATCGGCAGGTGCGAGCGTTCCCACGGCGGGATGGCAGCCGTGCCATAGCCATAGCTCTTGAGCTTCACCAAAACCTATTCTTCGCGTTCAGCTGACCCCCCTAGCAGAAAAATAAAGACTTCGAATATCAAATGATCAAAAGATCTGCATACATCTGCTATCAAAAATTCCATCAATCTTGACTCCTGACTCATCGCTTGAACTGCTAGGCTGTTGGCAGCACGAGCTTCCCGCTCTCTTCAATCCCGCTCGGTGGCGGATACATCACATACTGGATCGAGGTGTCGTTGATCTTAGGATCGAGGACAGAGTTTTTGTTGGGCGGAATGCCTTCACCAAAGGAACTGCCACTACTCGACCTTCACATCTCACCTTCGCATCTGAAACCTCTTGTCGGCCCAGATCTTAGGGCTTTGTGGCTAAGGCGTTGATAACAAATCTGCAAATGGAAGACACACACGCACAGAGATATGTATCATATATAGTAATACATTGTACTATCACGTGGTGTGGTCGCGAGCCCGCCAAGGTGTGCATGAACGTCATGTATAGAGACGGGGGTCCATCAAGCAGTTCAGACTCTGCTAGTTCGATTCCCTTCTTATGTTTCTATTTTGATGGGGGGCCATGTTGGGATATCGGTCGCGCAAAGGGAACCGGACAAAGACACCGCGGTGTGTAGACACCGCGTGGCCCCGTTTGTCTTGTGGAGTGGTGCGCTTCGGGCCCCGAAGAAACGGAACACGCGCGGAGAGTGGTGCACAGAAGCGACGATCCAACACGCCTTTCGATCGCCTTTCGATCGCCTCATTCCAGGACCCCTGCACCACTGCAGATTCCCCAGCCCAGCCACGTCCATCCACCCATCCGCATCGCCGCACGCATCGCGCGGCGCCCATCCGGGGCACGCAGTGCCGCTGCCCCGTGCGCTTGGCGCCCTCGTCCGGATCGAAGATGTGGCCCAGGTGTCCCTCGCAGGACGCCTGGGAGGACATCGTCGGCGTCGGGCCGGGTCGGGGTTACAGTGGCACGGTGCGGAAGTTAGAGATGTCGAAAATGACATGTCTAATACCCAGACACGACCCGTCTGGGACTGCTATATATGCCGCCCCATCGGGGTGGTTTCAGGGGTCAATGTATAGGCATATATGGCCCACATGGAGTGTCTGGGATAGGATTATCTAATGATCTGATTGCCGAATATATATATATATACCCTGAACTTCAAACGTCGCTAGTTTCTGAAGACATTGATCTATGTCGAAGTTTAACTTAGACATGGCACGAAGACGAAGTTTAACTTAGACATGGTTCCTCAACAATCAACCCAGTTCCCACCAGATGTTCTTTTTTCCTATTTCTCATCGGCGTTCACCTCGCCGCGCCGCTTCGCGGACACGCCAAGTCAACGACAAGTACCGCAATCTTGCCAGTCTGATTATGCCCCAGAGCTTGCCACCCTTTGTTTTCAGCTTTCCTTTGCTGTCAGCCTTCTTGGACCAACCTTGGCAGAAAACATTAGAACCACTAAATACCGGACTTATGAACCACACCAAATGAGGCATGGCACCTTTTTAGAACTGCACCACACCAAATGAGACATGGCACCTTTGAGAACTGCCATCATATCCTCGTCACAGAAAGTGTGATAGTAACGGGGGTTGCAACCTCAAACAATCAGTGTGGTCCATTCCAAACATATAACCTCATGATAGCACTCACGCAAAATTCACTGCCACCGTGAGACGTTGTTCACGGACTACCGTTTGCAACATCTCTGCCATGGCCTCGACTTCCAGGGTCCGCAGATGAACTGGAGTAGAGTAAGGTGCAAGAAAAGAACAGACATTAGGGACAAGATGCATGCCACTTGGGGATCATGGTCCAGCAGAGCTCAGATCTCCTCAATAAAACACGATACAACTGAAAGGACGAAAAACACATTCATGTGATCTAGCTGGGGCAGCTCCTGATAGACATGCGGTTCAAGTTCTGATAGGACTCCAAAAAGGTTCGCCCGGCTGCTTCAATTTCACGAGCTTCGAGTCCAGACCTGGTTTTTTTGTGACATGTTAAAGATCCAGGGAAACTGGTACCAAAAAACATAGGATTCATGTGTCCAGCACGTGGCCACGCCATGGAACACCATCTTTGAGCCGGGCTTCAATTCCCTCGAGGACTGCTCCGTGAGGGAGAAATAGCGATTGATACCTTTCCTCCACTCTGCGCCAGAGTAGCACCAAAAAAAAACTATGTCTGAAGGTCCATTGGATTTACCCACCCATGTTTCAAGGAAACCAAATATATATTGAATATGATCCAGGGCTCACCGCCACCAGGGAAAGATAGGATCTCTCGTCTTGTAGAAGGCCCGGACACGGAGCAGTATGCGCCAATTCTAGCTCATGCTCCAGCCACGCAGATATCACCCTAGCATTGTAGCCTTTGGTATTCAAATATGTTCCAAACTCCTCTTTGAAAATCATCCAGTAAGTGAATCTGCGTTGGCTGGACGATACTCGGTGCGCAGTCTTCCAAGCTTCAAAGCGTTGGTAGGCTTCCCGACATGCATTTCTGTAAGCAGCCGGTTCACCATGATACGGTACAGGTAGGGTACCAAAGTGGTTCATGTGCATGAGCATTGCCCTTGGTGACTTAGTGTTTGGTCAGGCAGGGAACACAGTCTAGTCTAGCCCATGAGATACTTTGGTCCTTTGTTCGAAGAGTTTCTCATCAAAACCATTTTTGATTGCGATCCCAAATCTGCAAACAAGTCACAAGGCCGAGCCATTTGACACATGGACCAACCCCAGATTCAATATATGTAATGTGCAGTGCTTCAAAGAGTGAATCGAGAAGAAATGAACATCCGTTAGTGGGCCTCAGTTGGTCAGTTCTTTGGGTTGAACATGGTTGCATGGTTGCGACAAAAACGCTAAAGAATCACACAATGATCCCAAAAGAACACACAGGTCAGTACTAAGTGCTCAAAAACCAATGAATATTCCAAGGGACTAAGAGTATTTGGTAGTTCGTTGATGATGAACTGTTTGGTAGTGTTGCGACATGTCGACCCTGCATCATACAAAGCGTAGCAATCCCTGTCCGGCTTCGTGTGCGCGCCACACCGAAAGCATACATTGACGGAGTTCCAGCGTGCCTTGTGTTGAAACAGAAAATAGAGCCAAGCCTGGTCACCCCGAACTTCTGTGAGGATGAACTTGCGGTTTCCCTCGCCCACGCCGGATTCCATGCAACGGTTCAGCGACGC